CTGAACTGTTAAATCAGAGTAAAGCTGCAAAATATCACCAACAAAAGGATAGTGCCAGAATGCAACTTCAATAACATTCCTGAGAAATTAAAAGCCCACACGAAGAACAAATCTGCCTTACTGAATTCAGTGGACCATGAGTCATAGGTGCTGTTGACTGAATTCAGGGTCATTTGTTAAGAAAGAAAGCAAAAAAGGCAATTCCTGTAGCAAAAAGAAAGAAAAGGCCTAGATGGATAACAGATGAAACATGCACAGTTGTTAGGGACAATTAATTTAGAATTGCTAAGGACAATTAATTGAGAAACGTGCAATTGCTTCTCAATTAATTGAGAAGCAGAAGCAAGAAAGCAAAAAGTGACAGAAATGTCAGAAGTCAGAATGCAACTTGTCAGTGATCATCACTTAGAGGCAAAAAGATAGAAAGAAGCATAGAAACACAGAAACAGAGCAAGTCAGAAGGGGACTCCCAGGCCATCTAGTTTGACCCCCGGCTCTAGTCGGCTCCACTCATGACATGCCTACCATGTGCATGTCCAGCCTATCCTTGAACACCCTCACTCATGGGGCTTTCACCACCTCCCATGGTTGAAGATCTATCACAATCACCAAGATACAGACGAGAACAAGAAAAGAGGAAAAACAAGGGACTTAATCCAAAGGAAATTCAAACCTAGATTAGGAATCTTGAAAGACCAAGTGGAGTGGGGGGTGGGCACTGCTATCTTACCAGCAGAAAATAAAGAGAAGGTGGAAAGAATATACAGAAGAAGTATACAGAAGAGATGAAAAAATGGCTGACTCCTTTGTAGAGGAATCTTCTGTGGAAGAAGCTACAATATTAAAAAACAAAGTGAAAGCTGCTCTGATAACACTCAGAAAGAATAAAACATACAGAGTAGATAGGATATTCCAAGCTGCAAACTGCAGGGAATGAATTCTCCAAATTCTGGGAAGAATACGCCAACAAACATGCAAAACAAAACAATGGCCCACAGACTGGAAACATTCAGTTCAGGATACAGGAAAAGAACTGTCAATGTTCATGCTAGATTCCAAAAAGGAAGAGTTGCTCAAGATCATATTGTCAATATACATTGGCTACTGGAATGTACCATATAATTTCAAAAGAAGATCACTGTACACTTTATAGTCTTCAGTAAAGCTTTGACTGTGTGGACCACAAGAAGCGATGGATTGTCATGAAAGGAATGGTGTTGGCTTAGACCCCAGTTACCTCAAGGAACGCCTATACCCATACATATGTATATGCCTACCAGGCCTTTAAGATCTATGCAGGGGGCCCTCCTGTGTGAGCCATCCCTTAGGGAAGTGAGAGGGATGGCTGCTAGGAAGAGGGCCTTTTCTGCAGATGCTCCCCATATTTGGAACACTCTCCCCAACAAAGCAATTCACCTGGTGCCTTCTTTATACTCTTTTTGGCACCAGGTGAAGACCTCCCTTTTAAAGAAACATTTTAATAGCTGGTGCCACTAAACCTCAGCTTGTATTTTATTTGCATTGTATTTTAATTGATGTTGTAATTAATTTTATCATGGGTTTATCTTCTAATTGTGAGCCTCCCAGAAGTGTGATGGCACAATAGGTAGCATACAAATGTTTTAAATAAATAAATAAATAAAGGAATGGGTGTAACTCAGCACTTGATTGCTCTGATTGATTGTACACCTTTATCATGCACAAGAAGCTATTGTTAGGACAGATTATGGAGAAACAGAATGTTTTCCATAATTATTTAAAGTGTTATCTGTGTGTTCCTTTAAATGTTGGTAAGTTTCAAAAAAGCAAGGGGGGAGTAAAAGAGGGGGATGAGTGGATGAGGTGATTCATTGGTGACTGAGAGGGTATGGGTGGAACTCAGAAGTGTGTGAAAAGAGATGAGAGAGAAAAGTCAGACAGTTGTGGTCTGTCAGTAGTTACGGTTAGTTGGAATCAGACTAATTGCAGAATCTGAAGAGTCTCATATAGTGTTGTGAAAACTATTTAGAATTCATAAGCACAAAGGGAAGGAAGTAGAATACTTGGAGGACATATTAGTGTCAAGGGAGAGATAAAACTTAATATTGTCAAGTATTATAAGGGTGTGAGAGATAGAAGCTGGCATAAACCTGAGTGCAGGATTGAAAGGAGGATCTGCATGTGAGGAGTGTTTGTGAAGGGAAAGAGTGATATACCTCAGTCAGAAGTTATTATACATTGTTCCACTCTCCAAGGAAATAAGTTACTGAACATCTTGGAACCAACATGTTTCTTGTACAAATAAAGTCTTCTTTTGCTTATTGTTAACTCAGCATCGTAAGTTTTTGAATATCAACACTGCATCCTCAGGATCACATAATCCAATGACAGAGCCTTATAGTTTGGGCACAATATTGAGGGAGAGATTAATTAATAAGATTCAAATTAAATTCCTGGTGGCAGCATTACATATACAGAGAAGGAGATAGAAATATCAAAGAAAGTTATATGCAAACAAAATATAGGAGTGTACTTGTGACAGTTTCTTACAGGCAAAGGTGTTGGACAAGGGTGTATTTTATCTCCCTATATGTTTAATCTGTATGCAGAATATATTTTAAGAAAAGATGATTAGAATCAGAGGAAGAAGGAAAGAAAATTGGTGGAAGGCACATCACTAATTGAAGATTTGCCAGTGATATGATATAACTGGCAGAGAGCAACAATGAATTGAAGTAACTCTTGAAAGTGAAAGAAGAAAGGGCAAATGCAGAACTGCAGCTGAATATTAAGCAAACACAAATCATGACCACAGAAGAATTACATTTTTACTGTCAGCACTGAAGAAACTGATATTGTTAAAGGTTTTGCATATCTTGGCTCAGTCATTCAATTCAAATGAAGACTGCAGTCAAGAGATTAGAAGGCTCAGACCTGAAAGGGCAACAGTGATGGAACTATAAAAATACAGTTGAATGTAAAGGGTGTTTCACTGGAGACTCTGATGAAGATCATCCACATTATTGTATTCCCAATCACTATGCATGGGTGCTGGACAGTGAAGACAACTAACAGGAAGAAAAATGATGAGTTCAAAACATGCTGCTGGAGGAGAGCTTTGTAAACACCCTAGACTGACAGAAAAACAAATGAGTGGATTTTAGATCAAATCAGGCCAGAATTTCCCTGAAAGCAAAAATGACAAAACTAAAGATGTCATACTTTGGGCATATCTTGAGAAGGTAAAATTCCAAAAAGATTATTTTTCTTAATAGCACAGTTTGAGTCATTATACTCTGAACTAAACATCAAGAACGTTCATTTTTAAATGTATACTTTGTGAAAAATGAACATCTAACAATGAATCTTTGATATTTTAAAAAGATATTGGCTTGGATTCATCAAACTGAACTGAACTGCAAGGTCTTTCCACCCACCATCCAGAGAAACCTATCCAGAGGATAAGCAGACATTTGGTGTTATCCAGTGTAATAAGAGGTAGAGGATGACAGATAAAAGTTAGAGGAAATGGTGGATCTTTTCTTCTAATGTCTTGTCTTTGATCCCACAAGGGTATTTTTGGCTAGATGAATGCAGAACTTTATTTTGTTTTCTGATCCTTGATGACACTTTAAAATTTACAGTGGAAGCTTCTAAATAGCACAGGTTGCCCAAATGAGAACTTCCAGCAGTTACTTTTTAGCACTCAAAATAATAATTCTTCAGAATCTCAAATAGTTATAGGATACAATGAGTCATGTGGGGACTTCTAGAGCATTGAATAGTTCCAGGTGACTATTTAGAAAACACGCTTAAACAAGATAAACACAAAGACCACCGCTATTTTAAAAAGAAAAATATGGTCTTTTTGCATTACTGACATTTAGCATGCTGACTTTCCCATTATTTCAATAAACAAAGGAAGGCTTTCTATCCCTGCTCCCATCTCAGATCTAACTATCTAACTGGCCTAACAGGCTGCTTAAGTACCTCCAAAAACAAAACAAAACAAAGCTTGTGTTTTGATCAAAGTAATATTTGCATCTTTATCAATTATATGCACATTTCTTCTACAAACATATAACATTGTTATTAACTTTATCTGATCATTTTTATTCTTCATATGTTATTTTTAATTAAATTTGAATTTATCTAAAACGTGCTATTTTCTGCTAAATGATTATAGCAGAAAACAAGGGTACTAGAAACACTTACCTTTTGTGGGTTTTTAATAAACAAATATTAGTTATTACACAAGTCCTTATATAGTTAGAATAAATGTCCTGGTTTGTTTTCAAAGAAATCAATTACCACCAAGGCATCACTAAGCATGTGGGGAGGGGGTGGCAAGGACAGCATCAGTCTGATTCATTCTGTCATCATCGTTCTGATATATAATCCAATGTTTAGCCTCATCAGAAACTTCTTTTTAATGAACTCAGAAAATGTTAGACTTTAGAAGCACCAGCAGAACAAAATCATGTAACAGTTCCTTTATATGATTTTAAAGACCCTTGCAGTACAAGCCTATACATACATATTCAAATGAAGCCTCACTGAGGCCAGTGGGACCTGTGGGCAGACAAATGTAGATAGTCACATACTTAAATGGGATTAAACCCCACTGAAGTAAATGGAGTTTTCTACTGAGTATACAGGCATCAAACTAAACTAATTTTGACTTCCAACAAAAATATATTTTCAGATAAACCACTGATGTAAAATTTATTAGGTCTAGAGGCCTATACTGCTTTCTCTACCTCCACCCCAAATCATAGAAGCAATGAAGATAGTACATATTTATATTTTCTACAAATGCTGCCAGATCTTATTTTAATATGAAAGTTACTGGTGACACTGAAGAGGCTGTGTAACAAGCTTTCTTTTCAAATGAAATAGAAGCAAAAGATTCAGAGAAATTAATATGCTTCCAGCCTTTGTCCTATTCCACAGGTAAACGCATTGCCTCAAGGGATGCCATACAGTAATTCAGTACTTAAGAATAAAATAAACTCACTAACCTGTTCCCCTGGGAAGAAAAGTAGAACTCGTTTCCAAACCAACAGAAAACATCTGCTCATTTTCTGTATTTTTTGAAAGAATGGGATCTTCTGAGGCTGAGATTTCCTTGGATGAAGCACCGATTTGAAGAAGGGCATTCTGTGTTTTCTTTTTTTCTTTCTTTAACATATTAACTAAGATATCTACAGTTTATTATAAGGAAAGTTTCTGCAGTTATTCAGTGAGAGTTTACTTCTGCCTAAAGATTTACCAGATCCAACAGAGCAATCTGATTGCCACCAGGTTCCCGAGAGTGCAAAATAAGGTTCCTAAGAGAGCAATCCCATTGCCACCAAGCAGTATCATGGACAAAAGATTTTTCCAATTACCAGTTCCTAGCTGATATCAGGAAATCACTGTGGATCTAATCTTGGATGCCCCCTCTTCACAGGCAGTGCAGAAAGAACTGTGCCAGTTAGTTCTTTGAGGCCATAAGAACTTTCAGGGACACGTGGTGGGGGTTTGAAGGGCACGCTGGAGGGCAGGGAGGAAAGGAGACTGCCACCACTGAAATGCAATGTATCATGGTGGTGCCTCAGCCTCCTTCACTCCCATGCTGACATGCCGCACTTAGCCCAACTCAGTCAACTGCTTTACAGAGCAAGAAAGTCAGAGGTGATCTTTGCCTCTGCACTCCTCCCACCATGCATAAGATACCCATAATCATCTGAGATTGGAGGGTTACAGGCATCCTCATAAGACTATGTTCCATGAGAAAAATACGGCACAATCCTACAGCTGGAGAATGCTACGATTGTAGTACTTTTTTCTGTCTAAACATACATAGGAGTGTAGCCTTAATTTTCAGAATTTCCAGTTTTAAAATATATAACTGAATAAACGCTGATATAGTACTGACATGAGTTTTCCCAGCCTGCTGAAGAATCCTGTGGAGAAAGACCACAGGGAAGTATGGTGCGCAGAAGTACAATTTTAAATGGCTATAATATGCAAGATTGCAGCATTACACTGCACAGCACATATGCCCAAGTGCTTTCACTTTTACAAATATACTCATGGACCAAAAAGTACAGAAATTCCAAGCAAATTAATAAAAGGTGTTTTTTTAAAGGAAATTAACTGAAATACATGAGCTCTCTTGGAGAGAAAGAAAGAATAATGTTATAAGCACAGTAGGTCAAACAACTGAATGAAATGCATATCAAGGCACAACTAATTAGGATATATTTTGTAGACGGATTTATATCGCACCCTTTAAGCAAATTCAATTACATGCCCAAATATATTAATATGTTAAGTGTCTGATATAGATCATGTTTAGTTCCTTTTTTAGCCACCGAGATCTGTCCAGATAATTTGGGTTTGGTTACTCTAGGCCAGGGCTGGTAAACACATTTTTTGTTCAGGACTGAATTCAAATTTGAGTCTCTGGGGGCACATGCCAACAGCAAAAGCCTGAAGGCATAGGGAGTGGGACCAGTAACAAAGTGGGCTAGACCAAGGAAAAGTGAGCAGAGCACATGCTACCCACACACCAAGTTGTACATTTTCCCACAGGTCAATTCTATGCATATCTATCCTGCAGTAAATCAAGTGCAACAGCTTTCAGGGTTGCATTGGGTTTCTTGTGCCCAAGGCTGAGCACAAGAAACCCAATGCAACGATGTTTAGGCAGGCCAAGTACAGCTTAATTCTAAGAATTGAAAGTATTTGCAGTTTAAAAGCCTTCAAATCACAGCTATCATTGATAAAAGGGGGGGGGGAGTGTGTGTGTGTGTGTGGGGGGGGTTCCAGCACAGAGATGGGGAAGAAGATTTGGAAGCTGCCTCAGGCAAACTGAGGTATCTCCATGGGCCAAATCTGTTCTATGGCCAGTAGGTTTTCCATCCCTGCTCTAGGCCTCTCATCTTTCAAGAACCTCCTGTACACCCATACACTCCACAAATCCTCACCCCAACAAACAAGCAAGCAAGCGGCAATCAGTGGGTCCTCTTTTGTTTTGGATTGGGTCCCCTTCCCTTTTAATTACATTTTTGTGACTTATCTTGCTAATCATTACAAGAACTCTGTAAAGTATTATAGTAATATATTTCATAGTGGTAAAGGGAGCCCTATACAGAATGGAGCTTACAGAATGCCATCAGTTTGCACGGATAGGAACAAATTTAAAACTGAACTGAACAACTAATTCTCTGAACAGAAATAAAACTACACCATTTTCCATTATTTAAAACACACTATTAAAATGCACTATTTTCCATTACTTTTAAAAAAGAAAATTATATCTGCCCCAACATAAATAGTTTTAAACCTAGTAAGACATTCTCAACAAACCTATCAAGCAGTCATGTGGATGGGGAAAATGGCTGAAAACAACAATGACAAAAGAAATCCTTCCTTCATTTTTATTTGAACTTTATTTAATTGAAACTTCCTTCATTTTAATTATTTTTTCATAAACTCCCAAGCCCTACAGAACACACAAACAAACCTTCTCCAAACCTGCTGTGGAGCTGCAGTTTCTTCCTTCTCAGTTATATGGAAGCCATCTATCCTTAGAAAAGAGTCTTTTCCAGAAAAAATAAATCAAGCACTAAATGCATTGCAATGTGGATGGACTATTTTGTGCTGGGTGTGAAGGAAAAGAAGTGTCTCCCTCCACGGCTGGCGCAGAATCTAAGAATGAAAGCTTTTGCGGATCAGATGTGGAGCCTCTGAGGCCCACATGTGGCGCATTGGTCTGAAGTTCCCCATACCTGATATAGATATTTTATGCCAAATGTTTGGACAATACTTTCATATTTTATTAATGTTTAGAAAGAGTCAGACTTATAATGGTGGAATACAGTTTGATTTGTCTAACTTAACTATACTGGGACTCTTTGGTTTGTATAATGTGTATAAGCATTAAACAAAAAAATAGTTAATGTCCTAAAATAGTCCTGTTTCAAGGTTATCATAAAATTCTTCTTCATTCAGAAAAATGATCATGCTGCTATGGGTTACAATTCTATCAAACAACTGAAATAATAGACTTTTCAATAACTTATTAAAACTACAGTGAATTATTCATTTCCTGTAAATTAATGGAAAAGGCAGTACAATCTGAAAAGCTCTCATACTGAATATAAATTCATATGTATTCTAAATAAAAAATCCAGTAACATTTCATTGAGCTAAAAAATAACAATTACAGGAAATACAACTTTTTGGAAGGCAATAAATAGTTCTTTATATAGCAGCACTATTTTCCATTACCTAAAAAAACCTGCTTTACATAAGGTTTCCAGAAATTTGGATTCGGGTCAGAACTAACTAAACTACATCCAGGAGTTTAAACTAGCTTAGAATCAGGGAATAATAGCAAACCTTGAAGTTTGACCTTTAAAAAAGTGGCAGCAAACATGTAATTTTAAGCATGAAATCATCAATAGAAAAAATCATATAACAAACAATACTTCCAAATAAACTAAAATCTCATTTCAGAAAGGATACTGATTTCATTGTCCCGTTGCAGCAGAAGATCCTTCAGCTTCTTTAATTCTTCATTTCCAACTAAACTATTATCACTTTTGTCTCCAGGAACATCTAATGCAAGCAGATTGTTGCCAGGAAGCTGCTTCTCATTTACTAATCTCTATTAAACAGAACAAAAACTATTATGGGCTCTTTAATTCAAGATGCTATTAATTGTAGTCTATATTTATTTTTAATAAGAAGGGGATTCTACAAATTTCTTTAACCTACATTAAAAAATGATACCCTTGTAGATTGTTGCAGTGAGTGACCTGATGGCCCTCCCACCTGCATTCTCTCTCTCCCTCATTCCAGAATGTTTGTCTTTGACTTGATTATGACATTGTTTTCCTTAAGCATGATTTCCCCTAAAATGCAGTTTGTCATTCTTATATTTTAAATTCTCTGCCTCTCCTCATTCATCTCAGCCTTTACTTCTTCAAACTTTGTTTCACACCAACTCCTTTTACTAAACCCACTTCTTTCTATCCCTCTTCATGTCTTGTCCTAAACTAGTAGTGTTAAACTGTTGCACCTTTAGCCTATTTTGTTTTGTGAGTCTTTCTTTCTTTTTATTCTTTGGTGGTGCAGTTGCTTCTATGGCACATCTTAGGTGGGGCAGCAACCACCAGTTGAAGGTCAAAGTCCTAAATTACTTTGTTCACTAACATCATCCACTTTTTCTTGCAAAACTTTCATACACACTCCCATCTGTTTAAAACTCCTTCTCAAAGATTTTCCCATCTTCCTTTGTTGAATTAGCATCACTTCCTTGTGGGGCTTTCAGTTAACTTTCATCTTACTCTTTATCCTTGGCCTTATCAAGTATTTTCCCTGCACCTTAATTTTGTCATTATCATAAACATTCAAGCCATGACCAGTGCTATCTTCATGTTCTGTACAACTCTTTAGCATCTGACAATCCTATAAATATATTGAAAAGATAATATTTATAATAGTAAGTTATACTAATATTATAATAGATATGTAACAATAGCTTAGATGCTAAACAATAATTTATACTATTTCTGCAAGACAACCAAGAAGCAAAATGATGGATTGGTATGCATGTAATGTTCAAGGCTTAATAAGCCAAATTTATCCTTGCTCCCTGACACAGGATAGGGCAATATGGCAAGCCACTCTGCAGAATAAGATGTTAAAAGGTTGCTTTGTAGAAATGTACACTTGTTGAGAAACACAAAGTAGAAATTCCAGAAAGCAACATTGCAACACATTGCAAAATCATTTTTGAAACAGTTCAAAAAAATGAGAGTGTGAATCTCCAAAGGATTCTTAGTAGCAGAAACTGAGTTTTTCAAATGTGGATGACATACATAGGTGCACAATCTGTGACTCCCCACTCCTGCAAAGATCCAGCTGAAAGACATGTTTTTGGAGGATACTTGCTCAATTCTGCCACCCTTCCAAGCAAGATTCCCAGGTTTTGCTTTGTTTTGTTTTGGGGGGTGGAATCCTACATCCAAACTGTCCCTTCTATTTTGCCATTGACCCTAAATTCCTGGGACCTCAGGCAGTGGCAAAACTTAAGAGGAAATTCCATTGTGTGTGTGAAAGTCAGGTTTATTTGACACATTGTACAAACTCCTGTGTCTTCGCTGAGATCCCCCGCCAATGTACAAAATCTACCTCCCATCCTAGCAGCAGGGAAGCATTTTCAAAAGTTGAGGGGGGACAATTATGGATACCTGATCTCCCCACAAAACACAAATTGGGCTGCAGAGTGGGTGAAAAGAGTCCCTTTCTGCCCCGTGTGATCTCAGTTTGCAAGAAGCTGCCTGGTGCTGGCCTATCAAATTTGAAAGGTCTTTGCAGAGGGAGGAGGAAAATACTTGCCTACAGCCCGCGCTAGGCATGGTATAGGGTGGAACACTGCTGCTTTTGCTAGCAAACACCTTCCACGGCCAGTACCTACCCCAGGGCACTCCCTTTTAAACCCCAACTGATCTGCAAATGGGCATTTTGGGGAAAATTTATAAGCACAAATATTTGCAAACGTTACCACAATTTAAAAAATTTAAAAGGGAGTGGTACTGCTGGGGCTGCTCATGGCTACCCAAAACAGGGATTGTGAACATCAGAGGTCACTTTTGTGACCTAAAAAAAAAAAGAAAGAAAGAAAAGAAAAGAAAAGAAAAGAAAAGAAAAGAAAAGAAAAGAAAAGAAAAGCAGTAGTAACATTTAAAAAGGCAAGCTGCAGTGAGACCAAATTGGCTTACAACAGCTCTAGGAAGGGGGGTGCCTTTGCTAGTCATCTCCTAAGGGCTGCTTTGGCACTTCTGGGGTAGCTGGCTATACAGTTCAGTTACTCACTAGCAGCCCAACTGAAACAGCAAGTCTTTCTGCCATTCTTGTTGAGCAGCTGTGTAGAGCTTGTAGCTACTCCCTAGCTTATGTCATTTGAGTTCAAGCAACATGACAAGCCCAGAAATGGCTCTGAAATCCAACAAGCCTTGGTTTGTTGGGCTGACTTCATAGCCACAAAAAAGCCACCCACAGGAAGAAGGGTTCCATCAAAACAGGGAAATCTGTTTGTTTGAGATTGATGGATTTCCTGCCTGTTTCTAATCTGAATATCAGGAACTGACTGAATGGGGTAGCCATTGGACCACGGACATTGGGCTATAAAGCAGATCATGATTTGCTCCTATTTTTTAAACTGCCAATTAAGTATGTACAAATATGCACCTGAAAATATTGTGGATCTAGTGCAAAGTGCAAAAGTGATTGATTTGTGCAAATCAACGGATTCTGAACAAATCATGCTAGAGTCATGCAGTGTTTGAGTGCCTATTTGCACAAATCTGTCTTGGAGGCAAACATCTGTGAGGTGGCTTGACTCAAAACAACACAACCTTCAGTGCCAGTGCAGGGCTAATGAATTAGAATCTAGGGGACTTGAATCATGAACATCTATCAGATTATTTATCCCAGTGGCTTAGCATGTCATGTGATTAATAGGGTGGGTTAGGAATCTTATGAATGAATGAATGAATGAATGAATGAATGAATGAATGAATGAATGGTGGGCCCAGAAGAAACTAGATTCAGTCACAGTTTGCTTAGCCCACTGTTTAAGCTATGGTTTCAAATGTTGATGAGTAAAGGTAAAGGTTTCCCCTTGGCATTAAGTCAAGTCATGCCTGACTCTAGGGGGCGGTGCTCATCTCCGTTTCCTAGCCAAGGGAGCCAGCGCAGACAGTCTCCATGGTCATGTGGATGGCATGACTAAACACCAAAGTGCACAGAATGCTGTTACCTGCCCACCGAAGTGGTACCTTTTTATCTACTTGCATTTGCATGCTTTTGAACTGCAAGGTTGGCAGGAGCTGGGTCGGAGCAACAGGAACTCATCCCATTGTGCAGATTCGAACCGGTGACCTTTCGATCAAGCAGCCCAGCAGCACAGCGGTTTAGACCACCAACATTCCCTGATGTGGGCACTACATGAAACCTAGGGTAGTGTCCAATAAAGACACCCAAAACCATCTAGCCCCACCAATTCCCTTCTGCAAATTGATCCACTATTTGTGGAACAGAAACTTAGGGCTTTCAAGGCAAACTCTGAAGTAAGCTGAAATTTTGTTTTGGAATAAGATAGGCCAGTGGAACATATGTAAGAGTTTCATCAACTTGCCCCAATCCAGAAATGAATGTTTCCACTCATTTCGGGCCTCACTCACAGAAGTGCTAGATTTCCATTCTAGAAGAAGTGAGCACAACTTGTGGAAAGTAACATGCAGCAAAGGCCACTAGTGAAACAGAAGTGACAGTGGGTCCCACTCATGGACTGGATACTGCCCTAAAGTTTTCAAAAAAGAATGACCAAAGTCAAGGTCCAATGAAGTACAAGGAAAAGTGCATGGGCACTTTAAATGGACTTAATAAATGCATGGGCTTAATAAATATTATATCCAAACCAGCCATCTGTCAGAAAAATTTTCTTGAGTATAGTACACAAACAGAAATCAATTCTGAGAAATGTACATTATAATTAGAGCTTCAATTAGGTTCTGATTTGAATCCTCCACTCCTCTCTTCTTTCTCAAGTATGTTTAGAGTTTTTTCACCCCTGCATTCAAGTGTACCTTTAAATGGATGAAGCAGTATTTGATTTTTCGCATATCAGCTCCCACCTCCAGCATGCTCTCAGGATCTACATCTTCCAAAAAACTTTTAATTTGCTCCTCTACCCTAAATACACAAGATAAAAGATTATAAACACCATCCTTTAAGAAAATGTACACTTCTTCAGAAGATAAAAGTGAATATGGATACCAGACTCTGGGTAGGATCCAGCTTCTTTTCTGCCAGTGGGAACATTCCATGGACAGAGTTTTGCTAAAAATGTTCCTGTCTGCAGAAAGGAGGGAATATACGGGATTGCAGTGACACAGGGGAATCAATAAAAATAATTGCTTTCTCCTTTATGCTAGCAGGATGCCTCCACTGGATCTGAAGCCTCCCACACACAGAAAAAGTCCTTCCATCTACAGGTTTTTACAAGCTGTCTACAGGCTGAGTTTTGGACCCAATACACTGAAAGCATCCCTGCTCCTTGTTTCTAATATGACATAACTATGAAAGTTTTCTGTCCAGGTGAACCAATGTAAAAGAAAATGGTAACTTAGCTTACAAATTCATGAAAGTCTGCAAAATTACAAAAAAAAATATGCCTTTAAGACTGGTTACATAACAGATCTACTTAGGTTCTACTTAGTTTCAGACCCACATTCTAACTGTTACGGTACTGAGTTAAAATGTATAATTGTTCAGGAATTACATGAATTTCAAAATGGGAAACTTGGATCAAAAAATCAAGTTTTAAAATGGAGTATTTTCTTGGTGATTTAAAGCAATGCTTTAAAAGAGCCGTGATGTAAGCCCATTTTGACATTCCTCCTTGCCCCTGAAACTCTCGGTGCTACCTGGCACACAGCTTTGCAGGGGTTACAGGGGGATGCAGAAGAAATTGGCAAACCCTGCCTGCCTCCAACAAGAACTTCCACTGGATTAGAGTCCCTTCCACAAATGGAAGGAACCCTTCCATTCATTTCAGGGCATATATGGATCTAGCACATAATAAACCTGTTATGACAGCCAGCATGGCTGATTAAATGGTATAGAAAAAGTTTGATAGACAGACAGACAAACAGACCGACAGACAGACAATGCCTGCCCAAACAGCAATCACTTCTGCAATGTGCTCAAATTCTTGAAAACTTCTGCAGAATATTTATTTCAGAACTGGTGAGCTGTTCCTGAGAATGCCTCTGCATGGGCTTCACTGTTTATCTTTAGTTTAAGAGCAATGCCCAAAGATCGTTCATGGGAGAACCTAAAGCTCTCACTGGGATAACATTGTAAGAGCATTGTCAACCAAATGTGAAAAATCATGAAGTTTTCACCATTTGATATGTCCTCTATGAATTATACTTGGACTGTACAAAAGGTTGGCATTTTCTGGAGGATTGAAATGTTATTCCTGTTTCCACTGCTAGACTGCTGGGGTATAATCATTAAGTATTCTGAATGCTCACTGATTGATTCATGCCTTTTGAATATTGGTTGACCCATGCTCAGGGTGTTTAAGGATAGGTTGGACATGCACATGGTAGGCATGTCATGAGTGGAGACAGCTAGAGACAGGGGTCAGACTAGATGGCCCAGGAGACCACTTCTAACTTGCTCTGTTTCTATGTTTCTATGCTTGTAACATGAAATACAGGTTGCATGTTGCAGGAAATACATGATGCATGTCGTCCATGCATCAACAGAATAGATTCTCTGGAGGTAGTACACTTTCCAGACTAGATGTAACTATGTGGGAAAGAAAGGAAGTCTTCTCTTGCAACCAAAAAGCTACCTATAAATTTCCATATTATTGACAAACTATCCCAAACATTTTAGATACATCACAAAAATTATTTGTGGGCTCCCAGTGAGGATAATATGAAGTTAAAAGCACATAGAAATCCTTACTTGTGATAAACTCCCACTGAACCCAAGTTTTTAAAAACCAGACTGTAAAAAGGGAAGAGGAGAAGACTTAGTCCTGTTTCTATAAGTAATACTCTCGTGATCAGATGTAACAGCAGATCAAAGTTGCTGTAGCCTTTTTGGGAATTCAGTGTTCTCCAATCTACTTTTATCTTGCTGCTCTCTTTTCCTTCATTTTGCTCCCAAATTGGTTTTTAGGATTATGTTTTTTGAAAAAAAAAAAAAAACACAGATTGCTGAGCTTACCTATTGCCAGCTACCTATGCATATAGATTTAAAAACAAAAATACAGAAGGTTGCGAAAACCCTGCTTTACCTGAGAAACTGCCATAAGGCAGAAAAATAAATAATTTTCAAAAGTCTATTCTTCATCAAGAATAATAGTTTAGATTTGAATATGAATAATATTCTGTTGTAGATAGTCAGTGCAAAAATTTCTTTCCCACACAGATTTCCTTATTCAAATCAGAGCAAAATAACACATATCCTTGCTCATGGGGTATATTTTCCTCCCATGAAAAAATGTAGGTCTACTGTAAGAAGGACATTGTCAAAGCCAAATATTTGATATCAAAGTTTCTTATTCTAGAATTGATGAAAACAATTACAGTAACAGGCCATTAAAATATCCCTATTGTGGAGAAGATCTTTCAAGATTGGAAGAAGCAGGAAAAATCTGACAAGTTTTTTTAGAAAATGAAAGTTGTGAGGTAACATGGAACTAATGATGAAGAGCCTTCAGTTTTGCACGTTGTACTGTACCAGTGGACAGGGAAGAAGAGCCATAAGTGAATCACACCTTACAAAGTCAAAAATACAGATAGCATAGCATGAAATATTACCAGCGAATATTTGACATTTCATTTTACCCTTCCTATGTATTTGCACTTAGAATGGACAAACCCTCAGCCAGCACACATACCCACATCTCTTCAATGTTAGAAACATGTAAAAACTTTCCCCTCAGCCTATTGTACTGCTCTAAAGACATCGATGATGATGATGATGATATCCAGCCACCTTTCCTCCCACAAAACTAGGGTACAAAAATTCTGATGAATTTTCATAATCCCCTCCTGATCTTCAGGTGAGGTTTTTGCCCTACCATCACACTATCAACTATGCTGAAAATGTCTGAAAATGTTTTGCAAAGACCAACTCACAATTATAGTTTCAATTATCATGAAATTGAGTCAGACAGCAACAGAAGTGAGAAAAAGAAATATTAAACATTCAAGGTATTAGGGATATACATAATCCCAACATGAATAAAACTAATTTTACAACACAGTACCTATTTTTGTTGCTGAAGCCAACAGATATGTTAAAATATGGAAATATTTAAATTTATTAAATAGTAACCAGATGAGGTGTTAACATACAGAATCTGGATTATTTTATTAATTTTTTCAATATGGATTTAATGGGTTTTAGTTTAAAGAAAAGGTATACAAAAAGGTTTGTGAGTCCCTATAGTAGGGTTTGGAGTAAGGAATCAGGACAGACTCCAGACACCATCCATTTATCAGGGTACTCTAGGACAAAAAAACCCTTAATAAAATGTTATTATTTGGATTACATTTGAAATAAATAATATATATTTTTGAAAACTATAATTTAAGTAGGATCTATTTGATGCAGTATTAGTGCTTCTTACAAGTACACAAGATTTACATTGAAAACATTCAAGAGGAAGGGCTGTGAGACACAGAAGAGACTTCAACTCAGAAAGGAATTTTGGAAGCCCTCAATTTGACCTTATTTATTCATTTATGGCTGCTTTTGCCTTTACCACAGACCTCTGGTATGTTATATCATGTGCAAAAAAGAAGTTAATTTAAATAAGTATGAATCCACATTAGCATCAGCTACAGACTTTATAACACATCAAACAAAAGGCAAACACCCTTAAAACAGTTGCCAGAAAAGCAGTTTTTCTAATACGTTTGAGTATGTAGATGTTTTCACAAATCTGTTGAACAGATAAAGTATTTTAGTATTCTTACTACAATATCAGTTCCTTTCTTTTAAAAAACCCTTTAGTCAACTATCATAGGAAGGGTAAGAGCACAGCAGGGGCATGCTGGAAAGTGCAGGCCTTTTTTCTATCTAAATTTGCATAGTGCTGTGTGAAGGATCAGCAATGCCTCCAGGATGATGGCTCCTTACCAGCAGAAATTAAGTAGCACTGTGCAGCTATTCTGGCTTTTCCCCCCATTAATGAATTTTCAACAGTAAGAAAAAAGATGGAGGAAGCAACAGTAAAACACAGGGGGATTACGAAAGCATAATGATAAAATCTGGAATGCCAGTAAAATTCTGTAAATGGGGAAGGCTATTATTAAAGTCTGATTTGGAAGCACCCACTGTAATTAAAGGGAGCTACCCAAATAATTCCTGTGAGCATCAACAGAAAATCAAGCCTACAGCAAGATAATTTACTGAACAAGAAAAAAAGTATTTCTGTGGATTATTGTTAATGCTAGGCCAATGAAGAGGGTATGGGACACAATAGACAAAAATATGACAAAGGTTAGGAACTGCCACTAAATTAGAGAGCTATGGTTCAACTAATTAAGGGTGCAATCCTACGCATGTTTAGACAGAAAAAAATCCACACAATTCCCAGCATGCCTTAGCCAACTGGGAATTATAGAACCTTTTAAAAAATTAAATGTGTGCCCTAAATATGAATTCCAGTACCCACTTACTTGGGATTAAAACTCAATGAATTTAGTAAGACTTACTTTTCAGTAGTTAAGCATATGACTGTGCTATATTTTTTAAAGAGTTCTCCTGGTGCTAAAGGCAGATTGCAAAGTATCAAATCAGTCAATAATTCCCAGAAATGTTGTAATGCTATAGAATAAAACTCTGCTGATTAATATTTATGAGAAAAATAAAATATTAGTTACTATGCAATGAAAAATATTAATAATGAATAAGTACTGGCCAACTGCTAACTTTCTGAGCAAGAAATTGTTCCTAATCTGTTCCTAATGTTCAATGTAATTATGCGCTACAGCTGTCATCTTTCTGTAACTATTTTAGAGTATGTAGAAACATTCATACTGCTAAATAAAAGCAGTAAAATGATATCAAGAGTTCAAAAAACAGGTTCTATGCAAATCAATGAATATTGTGATAGTAAGTCTTCTTTCTTTACACAGAGCAAAAAGCAGCACATTTCTGCA